GTGACAAGTGATCGCAATCCAACTATCTTTTCAGAGTGAAGCCATGCTTTTTTTAAAAACTAAAATGTTTCAAGTGAGTGCTATTAATGGAATTTCAACAACTTTAAGGCAGATAAAAGCAACAATGGCATCCTGTGTCTGCCTGGCTGCCCATGTTAGTTTGTTTTTTGGAAAGAGGAGCTATTCCGAAGTCAAATCTTTTTTAGAGAGCCACTTATCAGAATCGTGGTTCTCTAAAATTTTCAAAGTAAGGGCGCTCAGCTATTGATTGAGTAGCTCTGAATGGTGGGATCTCAAACTTTAGCTGCTTCAAATGTTTTTTGTTTTGCAAAATTTTAGTTGAAACCAGTTTCTTTAAGTGACCTCTTAGGGAAAGTTCTCTTCCATCAATTGAAAATATACTCTCTAGATAATAGTAGCAAGATTGTTTAAAAGATACCAATTGTTAAAATAATAGTATTAAAAAAAGAACATTACTTTAGCCTTACTTTAGCCTTGGTGGGTAGAGCTACTCAACACCTGTGTTGGTGGGAGATAGTAAGTACATCGTCGAATTAGTTGATGTGCGTGCAAGCTGACCCAGACACCATGGTTATCCCAAAAAAAAACCACTTTAATTAAGTTTAAGTGGTTGTCTTGGTCTTTAACGTTAATTTTGTTTGGCCTATTTGTATGTGATATTCTCTTTTTGCATTCTGCATTTTCTCAGCTTGTATATCAGCTTTTCACAACAACAGTTGAGCCCGGAGAAGAAGATGTCAAAATTGTGATGCAAATGGCCGAAGAAGCCATACGTGCTCAGGAGAGAGATCCTTACACTGCATTTGCGAATCGAGTGAGAGAGCTTAATTATGGAAACTCCTACTTCTTCAGGGTAATATGATTTTCAATCTGCATTGCCAACTCTGTAATGACGGGCATATTCATGACTTACATAGTAAAGTATTTTCTTGTAGCCAATCAAATATAATGACCTTCGGAAAGTCAACCCATATAAAGCTTGCGAATATTTCAATAGTTGCTTCAAGGACCCGTCAACTTTTACGGTGGTGATTGTTGGGAATATTGACCCTTCTATAGCATGTCCATTGATATTACAGTACTTGGTACGTACTATGATTTCTAATGATGTTGGTCCGTAGAATTGTTTAGCATCTGTCATTGGTTTATTCTGCACTATGCAGGGTGGAATTCCAAGGCCTCCTGAAGCAGTTCTACGTTTCAGCCGTGATGACCTCAAAGGCTTGCCTTTCCAGTTCCCGACAACAATAACTAGGTGGTCCAAATGTTATTTTTTCTCTAATTAATAATGTAGTAAGCTATGTACTTTCAATTAATGAAGCTGATTGATTGAAGGATACCTTAGCTTCAAAGACTTTACCTTTGCACCTTGTCCTTTTCCATTGTTCTTTCTCTCCTGACGCCTTGAGGTATTTGAGTTGGGGCTTGGTGAGGGAGTCTTAATGATATGATGTTTATTATATATTGTTCTCCCGAAACTAGAAAATTATATACAGACAAACTTATGTATATCATTTATACTTCTTTGTTTTGTTTTTCTTTATTTTGATGAACATGTGTGTGTGTTTGTTTGAATAGTTGATCAGGAGAGGATTCCTGTTCAGTGTCTGAAGTTACTGCAGTTTGTCCTGGAACAATCGGTTACACTTTTTCATAACACCTTCCCCGGAAAATAAAATTAAAAACATAAAAGGAGAAAATCCAACTTGATTAGGGGCCTAGGGTGCCCAGTGTTAGTGTTCATTTTCTTGTATGTTATAAACTATTGAAGTTCTATGATGTGCTTTATGTGCAAAATATCACCCTCATTTTATGAATTGCATGTGATTGTAGAGAAGTTGTTCGGAGCCCAATGGTAGAAGCACAATGCTCGGTGCAGTTATGCTTTCCTGTCGAGTTAAAGAATGAAAACATGGTATGTGGTTTAGATTCCTAGTATTAGATCTATATATTCTTAAGCTTTGTGTTACATTGACATGTATACCATCTTATCTTATTTATAGATGGAAGATGTTCATTTTGTTGGATTTTTGAGTAAGCTTCTGGAAACAAAGATAGTACAGGTTCTCCGTTTCAAGTATGGACAGGTGTGTACGTGTGTAATCTGTGTGATATTCTGTAATTCATTTCATTAATTTGTTACTCTTGGAACTTTTTGTGCCTTAGATTTATTCTGCTGGAGTTTCTGTCTTTCTTGGCGGCAATAAGCCCTCCAGAGTCGGCAATATCCGTGGAGATATTAGTATAAATTTCTCCTGTGATCCAGACATCTCATCGACATTGGTATGTTTGCAATTTTTATCTGCATGTTGCAAAAAATTGGTTAGCAAATCCTAACACCTCAAATTCTTGACAAGGTTGATCTTGCTTTGGAAGAAATACTACATCTTCAAGAGGAAGGACCTTCAATTGAAGATGCTATGGCCGTGCTAGAAATTGAGCAAAGAGCCCATGAAAATGGGTTACAGGTGACGTTCTACAGAATCTTTGTCTATAGAGGATCAAAGTTTCATAAATTGCAAATATTGTGAGAAGATCGATATCGAGTATTACAGATATAATCTATAGTACTAAAGCTCCAAATTTCTACTGTCTAAATTTTAGTGTTTGAATGTCCATTTGATCCACTGCTGATTGCTGTCTTTTTTTCAGGAGAATTACTATTGGCTAGATAGAATTTTGCGCAGTTACCAGTCACGGATATATTCTGGTGATATTGGCAATTCTTTTAAGGTTCGTTTTTAGTTCAAGTGCTTGTACAATTCCTTAAATGCAGTCTGCTAAATCTGGTGCTTCTTATTTCTTATGTATGTTGGTGTTATCCCATTCTTTGTCATCAATGCCTATTTGAAATAAACAACCGTCGTGATTTCAGGATCGTAAACTTACGGTGTGTTGAATATGCATCAGCACAACCCATCAGTTTTTCCTTGAAAAAATAATTTGAAAATGCACCAACAGTTGTAAATTGGGTAAAGTCAAATATAAGAAGTTGTTCGGAAAATTTAAAATGTAAATGCTTAATTCTCTTTTTCATAAAAGCTCCCTTTCACTTCTATAGTGGACCCTTTGGAGTTTGCCATATAGTTCTTCCTTTGAAACTCTCCCTTTCGCTGCCTCAGTGGACCCTTTGGAGTTTGCCATATAGTTCTTCCTTTGAAACTTCTGTAACTTCAATTATGTTCAGATATTGCCTTAGAATAGAATATATTCTGGGACAACACCTTTTGTAATTTGTTTAATTTTCTTATGCAGATCCAAGAGGCTGCACGTTCCAAAGTGAGAAGCATCTTGACGCCATTAACTGCCCAACTAGCCTTGCAAAAACTTTTGCCGTTCCCTTGTAAAAAGCAGTATACTGTAGTAATTTTGATGCCTCAGGCATCTCGTATTAAAAGGTTGAAGTCATTGATGCAATCTGTACCCAAAAGTTATTCAAGAGATGCAAAGGTTAGTCTCATGAAGTTCTCATATTTCCTCTTCTAGCATCACGATCTAACCTACGTTTATATTCACAATATCCTCCCTCTTCATGTGTCCTTGCCACGGAAAGAATGAAAAAGAGAATCTGATCTTCAGCCTTGCCCCATCCCTCAGCACTTTAAACAAGAAAAACTACATAACATCGACAAGTTCACTTAGGTTGTCGCATGCGTGAAGCATTTACTCTATTCTTGTACAAGTATGGCAGTTAATTAAACATGTTCTAGTGCTTCAAGTTACGCGCAACTTAGCTCCATATCTTGGAGCTCTGAGATTAACACATGCATGAATATAACGCTAACATATTGGTGCTATTGCTCTTAAGTAGATTTCTTTCCTAGGCTGTACTGTACTTTATACATCCATAATCTTCAACAGTCAACCTTCAAAGTCATTCTTCGTGTTCTGCTTCTTTATACGATGTTTTTTATGTCTTGCCTACGATTTTCAGATACTGGCTGGAATTGCTGGTGTGACGATTTTATCCCTCAGTTTATGGAAATACTCACGAAGTACTCTGAAATCGTAGAAGAGATCTTTGCTGAGACAATAGACTTGGAAGGGAACTGTTCTACACTTGCTTATCCAACCCAAAAGTAGTACAGTCCAATGGCTTGCAGGAGAGACTTCCTCACATTTCTTTTGCCAAGACATCTGTTCATACTCTGCTTTGGCCTTCTTGTACCATATATCGATGCGCCATTATTATCGGCGACTGTTATAATGAAACATTAGGTTGTGTCAGGATTAATACCCTTAGAGAGTTGATAACCATTGTGCTTGCACTACTGTATCAACCAAAGTCTTTAAAGAATGTGTCTTCTTGGGTTTGATCCCTACCTTATAATTGAGCAAGTATGAAGTTCTTTTTTTCCTCTTCGAATTACGTGCATTTTTCGTCTCTTTGGTTTGGAGATTCCATATTTGTTCTTCTTATGATCGTCGCTTTGGTTGCAGGTTGACTTCATGTCTTGCATGAGGTCAACCTGCAACAGAGTAATCTCCAACGTGCCTTAAACTTCATGTCTTGCATGAGGTCAATCTGCAATAGAGCAATCTCCAACGTGCCTAATGAGTACATACATGCGGCCATAGTATCAAACAAAGAATTTGCAGGGGCTAAATTTTAGATGTTTGTATTTGTATAAATTCGTTATTTCAAGTTGATACAAAATAGCTAAATTGTACAAACGTATCTGCGAATTATACAAATTCGAGATTTATATAAACCCGCGAGTCATACAAAAGAAACAACTTAAACTGTAGCTACAATCCGTAAATATACAAACTATAACTACGAAGAAATAATTAAGTTTATTATAGTGATTATATCCGAAAATTTTCCAATAATTTATGGATCCTAAAAGCTGGCTATTAGTGCAATTGTTCCAAATAAAGTTGTAGTTCAGATTTTCAAGCCCATAGTCTTTAGGCCCAAAGCCCAAGCCCATCAATATAATTTTACATTTTAAATACAAAATAACCCCTGATATAGACTATAATTACGACATACCACTAGGGTTTTATTTCGTTTCATATATATACTTCATCTTCTCTTCTTCTTTGCACTTTGCCTCCTTCCTTCAAACCCTAGTAAGCTCTCTGTCACTCTAAAATGGAGGAAATTATTGATTAGTTTTCGTTGTAGATCTGAAATTGTGTAATGGTGTTAAAGGATTTTGTTGTTTGAATGCAGGAACGGTAAGTGTAGTGAAAAAAAGGAGCGAAAATGGTGGAGAAAACTAAAGGAAGAAAAGAGGAGGTTGTTTCCAGGGAGTACACCATTAATCTCCACAAGCGTTTGCATGGATGGTAAAAACCTTCTCGCTTCTTATTGATTTGTGTTTGAAGTATTGCTTTCATCGATCAGATGCAGTCTAGTAGTTTTATTTTTTGTTATATTAGGTACCTTATGTGTAATTGAAGTATTGATTTTGATTGAATTGTAAGTAGTGTAAAGGATTGATATTAGCTGATCTCGCCTAGTTTGGAATTGAAATGGTTTATTGATTCGAGTAGTTGATGAGCTGAAACTATCTGAAACACATTGGCTGTTATTGTATGAGTTGTTGAATATTGTAATGTATTTGTATTAATGGATGGCCTATAAATCTATGCTTCATTATTGAATATTGTAATGTATTTGCCTATAAATCTTCGTGGAATCTGTAGAACATAGAAAATTTGGAATCACTCATCTCTGAAGTTTTTGTGTTTGCGGTGCGTATTTAACAAACTGTCATTGATTTTACTTGCTTAAAATGCATAGAGAACTATGAGGTACTGAGGTTGGATATGGTGTGGAAACTACAATAGGGTAAATTTAAGTAGAATTAATGATAAAAATGTTAGCTTGTTGTAGATTGTCGGTATCAGGAGTTGGCATGTGTAAAGTGACCTGACGAATCCCTTACATTTTGCTACACAATCTACATCCTATGATGCTCCAAATTGGGATCAATTATATCTAGAGATCAATCAATTTGCATTATTTGATGTGAACTGTGACATGACCAATCCCTTACATTTTGTAACACAATCTACATCCTATGATGCTCCAAAAGTGGGATCGATTATATCTAGAGATCAATCAATTTATTTGCATTATTTGATGTGAACTGTGTTTGTATGAATTGAACTCATCATGTTCTTCGAGAACTGACCTATAAATCCTTGCCTTTAATATGACCACTCAGTTGGATAAATAATGAATTGGAAATCAACCACTTCCTTATAATAGGTTCTAGCCTGATATTGTTGTATTATCTTTTGGGTTTACAGTCGTACTGTCTCTAGCCCTATTTATGTTCTGTAGTGACTTTACATATCCAACTCCTTGAGAAATCACTTCGTATTGGCATTTGTATATGTTAAGAGCAGAGCCATGTTCCTGTTTGCAGTTTCTTGTGTGTTGCCTTTCTTATCCATGTCATTTTGGTGTTGCTCAAGTTGCCCCGATATTAAATCTTGCTTTTAGATTCTGGATAGTCGGTAATAGTTTGGTGTTGCTCTAGTTGCCCCTTTTTAACTTAATGGCAAAACAATTTGGTTTATGTCCTTGTTGACGTTGGCTAACGTTATACTGCCTATATTATATAACAGCACATTCAAGAAGAAGGCCCCGACAGCCATCAAGGAGATCCGAAAGTTTGCACAGAAAGCCATGGGAACGAAGGATGTCAGAGTGGACGTGAAGCTCAACAAGCAGATCTGGAGCAGAGGCATCCGAAGTGTTCCAAGACGTATCAGAGTTCGTATTGCTCGCAAGAGGAATGACGATGAGGACGCAAAGGAAGAGCTCTACTCTCTTGTCACTGTTGCAGAGATCCCAGCTGAGGGTTTGAAGGGTCTTGGTACCAAGATCATCGAAGATGAGGAATAAACTTGTCTTTTTTAGTGAAGAATGATGATACCGTTAGTGTTTTTTGTTATCCCATTTAGTGCTTTGCGACTGCTAAATTTTGTTTATGATACTCAAGTATTTTCCTGTTTCAGAGTTCTCACCATGATTTTATGCTATTTATCTTCTGTTTCTCTGGATTTTTCATTGATTAGTTCTCTGTAGTCATATTTTTCAACAACTAAATTACAGCTAGTAGACTCTCCAAAACCAAGTTAAAATTGAAAATAATACGTAACATTGAGTTGTTGGCAAATAATTTTTTACGAATTCGTTATCTTGGAGTTAAAAGACACCCCAACAGGGCCATGTTAGGTATTACTCTACTCCTAAAGCATGTTCCAATCATAAGTATTGATAATGAAGTCTATAGAGAATTATGAAGATCAGAGAGTAAAGTGCGTAGAGAATAATGAGGATTAGATAGTGAAGTGTGTAGAGTATTATGAGGACATATACTACTAGGTGATTTTCGAAACGACTATCACATTTATCTAGTCACAAGCCTCTTTGAACCTTTAGCAAGACTTGTTATAAAGGGGATGAATCGAAGACGAATTTACCCATAAAGTTTGGAGTTTATGAGTTCTCTGTCATGCTCTTTGGCTTAACCAACGTACCAACAACCTTTTGGAAGAATTGAGTACAAGAGGCAAAAATACCAGGTAAACTTGAGCTGATGGCAAATGACATATCATTCATAAAACTAATCGAGATATGCACAACGTGAGCCTAAGTTGGTAAAAAAAAAAAAACTAGTAAGGCTACACTCTAAAAACACTATAGGAGGTGCAATTAATATGAATATCATTAACATTTGAATCATTTTTACAATCCCTAAATGAATGAGTCTTGTAATATTATCCAGGCACGTTTTCCAACAAGGGCGTTTGGTCTAGTGGTATGATTCTCGCTTTGGGTGCGAGAGGTCCCGAGTTCGATTCTCGGAACGCCCCTTTTTTTTTCTTTTTTTTCTTTCTACATCCTCCGAATTGTGGGTACAACCCTTCCCTAGACCATGCTAACGCGGGATTTAATATATGCATAATTTTCAACGTCATCCAAGTTGTGGGTGCGGCTTTCCTTAGACCATGCTAACGTGTGATTGGAAGCATCAACTGATATATACATTAACTCTAACCAATTACAAAACGACCGTTATTGATGCATCCTAATTAGGGATGTATTTCAACCAAATCTCGAATAATGTCTCATATAAGTCAGGTTCACTAAGCATTTTAATAGGATAAATTAGGTTTAATGTCTTTGTTTCATTTCCACTTGTTATATTTTCTTGGTGTTTACCATGAGCCAACAATATAAGTGTCACATCTGTATAATCGTGATTGAAAAACAACAACAATAATAATAATAACAGTTTAATTTGAACAAGATGGTGAGCAATTCGAGTGAGATTGATTTCCACTGTATTTTGCAGTCTATCTACCAAAAGAACTCTTAACAAAAGGTTTAGAGAGTTGAATGGGAAAAGTGGAGATTGAATGTGTTTTAAAGGTTGAGTTGTGTCATGAGTGAAAAGGTCGAGTAGTCGCGGTGGAGAGTGGAAATGTGTTCAACTGCCACACGTTTTGATCGAGGGCAAGAGATGTCTCCTCGTGTGATCTAAAAACAGTACCTCACCTCATGAACTAGCTTTAAGGATTAATAATCGGGTTTTGGTTGTTGTGGAAGGGGAGGGTATCGGGGCGAAATTGATGAAAAGATAATGTAACGTAGGCAGCCTACCTGATGCAAGAAAAAAAAAAAGATGAGCAAAGGCAAAGAGAAGGGAACACCACTTATCTTGCCGGGATCCTCCAAAAATGCATAGCTTTTGGAGGATCGATCACACACATGAAGATGTATTTTTGAAGAGTCGGAGCAACATAAGGTATGGTGGATCAATCAAAGACAGATATTGTCATAAGAAGCACTATCACTCAAAAGATGAAGTCACCTTTTACAAAGTTCAGTCTAAGCCTCCCCACTGAAGTGTGAATGAAATGAGCGAAGACGAGCAAATTATTGCATCAAATTTAAAAATGGATTTCTCAGATCCGAAAACTCTCTTGGGAAAGAGAATGTTGTATGAATTCCCTGTTACTCGACTCATCCTAATAGAAAAGAGAGAGACCTTACGGTTTGTTCAATTTGCCCAACCAAATTTTCAGAAACTGTTATCTTAGACGTAGTAACCAGTGAATGTAAATCCTCTTCCTACTATCTCACCAGCACAATACCATGCAAAGCACTCCAAGCCAAACAAAGCAGCAATGCCTGCATCTTCAACCTTCAATTCCTTTCTATTCCTCCACATGTGCTTGACAGAGTCGACTTCCTTCCAAAATGACTCACAACGGCCGGGGATGCTGGAAGGAGTAAAAAAACGGTTCAAATGATCAAGAACAAATGCCACTCATGATTGCCAATTAGCTACTCATAAATATTTCAAATGTCAAGATGCACACCACTCCACTTGGCTCAATGGAAGAGAATGATCATAAAATTTCACACAGGGAACGCATTTTTGACATGAGTGTATGATTATGGCTATACAATTTACTTGGTTTGACTGACAAAGACACCACACACATTATCATGACTAATTAAAGAACTATAAGATGCAGTCCAGCATCTACACTGCATCAGTGAAATCAGATCAATTTGGTGTACCTAAAGGAACCAAAATTACTAATACACAGTTTCACATGCATATTAAAAGAAAGTCAAAGCAGGTAGTGATTTGCAGAACTCATTTATAACAGTGACTGATCCTAAAAGCTTAGCAACAGATATCAAGCAATTAGGCTGAAGAGAGTATAACCTAGCAAGGCGAGTGTAGAGCAACTGCTTGGACAATTCATTGCATTTTTCAACAGTGGGTGGCTCTACAATATACTGTTTGTTCTGCTCCAGCAACTGTTTGTAGTAGGTAGTACCATGCTTAGAGAGAAACTGTGAAGCTTGACAAGCCTTAGATTGCAGTTGCTGAATCTTGGAAGCCATCAATCCCAAGGAAGTCCTGGACCCAACAATTAAGGATATAAAATCAACACCAAACCAGCTAACAGACCAAGATACACCCTCCCTAGCTTAGTGGCAGATACGCTGAGATGCCCAATTATATAGAACATGCCACCGAATTCTTATATTAATCCAACCATAAAGAAAAAGAGGGGGGAAGAAGAGCAGATCATACACCTCTCATGTTGCAACTTCTTTTAATTTAGAAAACAACATCAAGTCAAATCAAATCCAAAACCATTTTATTTCACCGACTTACTAAAATAGGTAACCACCAATGATCTAGCATGCAAAAGGTTCACAATATAGCATACAACTTCCCTCGGAAAAATACAGCAACAGGTTAGCTAGAGTGAATGAGGCTTTTGATCAAGTAGTATCAAACTTGCTTACGCATATACCTACAATGACTCTGAATAGATCACACCTCTATTTCTGTGGTTTATTCTAAATGTTCCAAAAATAAGAACAGAATCAAGTCTCAACTCCAAAACTTCCATCAAATAATCAATCAACTAAGCCTCAATCTCATCCATTTGAAATCATCTATATCTATTTTACTCTATCTAGGGCCCACTTCAAAACCCCAATGAACATATTTTCCCAAATGAAGCGTGATCTACGAAAAACAGGCAAATCCAAAATTTTCATCTCATTTAACAGCATATAATCATTTGTATCTTAATGCACACAAGATGAAACAACGGTATCTTTTCATTGTTTCATTGACAAACTACAAGTAATTTCTCTCAACGCAAGCTAATTTTTTTGTTCTAGCTAATTTCGGATCCATCTCAAATATCAAGCTAAACATCAACAGTCATACCCGAGCCAAACCAAAACCCTTATCATCGCCCATCAAAAGCACAAATATAAGCCTACCACAAATTCAATCTCTTATACACATGCCTGAGTCAACAACAGTTTTTTTCGTGTTCTCATTGACAAAAAACAAGTTCTCTCAAAACCCTACAAAATGGAAGCTGACACATACCTAGCTAGTTCAGATTCCATCTCACAGATCAAAGCTAAAATCAACAATCAAACATCATCAGTCATAGCTGAGTCAAACCAATCAACCAAAACCCTAATCATCTCCCAACCGAAAATACAAAAACATAAACCTACGACAAATTCAATCTCTTATAAACATGCCTAAGTATACATCTTGTGCTTATTTACGCCTCATTTTTAATAACCATGATGTTCATCCTCAGGTCATCCATCTTGCATGCCCTTCGTCAAATTCTACGGATTATCCGTCACCTCCTTTTTCTTTTAGCTGGTCTAATACTATTTACTCAAGTTGAGCATCTTTCGGAAAAAAACTAACATTTGCATACACTCTACCCTCCTCTTACCTAGCTATTGGGACTACAATGGTTTTGTTGTTGTTATTGTACATGTCACCTCCCAGGCTCCCACCCGACTATACGAGGTAACTCTGTCCACCAAGGCAAATCACTTTTTTCGTCACTTCTAGGATTGAATCCTGATACCTCATAATTTTCAACTCACTTCATTAACCACTGAACCGCGCACTTTACATCCTATTTACACCTATAGTCAACGAGATCTGACAGAAATTAATCAGCAAAAAGTTGAAATCTATCAATCAATCAACTACACACCTCAATCTCAAACTAGCTGAATCGACTATCCAAATCTTCTATATATCCATCAACACTCCATTCAAGTCAATTTAATTTCATAACGACAAAACTACTACACTGAAATTGAAGCAAAAAACAGGAAAAAAATAACAATAAAACGAATCAAACCACACAGTAGCATGAAGATGAAGCTCAAAATTTTACCTTTTGTTCAGCGGATGAAATCTACGATTTTCGCTTCAATCGCCGATAGCCGCAGATGAAATATTCTGATGGAGACTTTTGAGAAAATTATGAACGGCAGAATTTCTACCTCACCACTAAAGTTTCAATTATTACAGTTTGCACCAACAAAAAAACACAAAATTCATTTGTGATACCCTTAGTTTAGGTTTATTACCAAACTTTCGGCTACGATAAAATTCATCTAATATATGCATATCGTGTGTTTAAATTTATAGTTTATTTTACTTATTAACATGTGTTTTTATTTCATTAAATTACATAATAATGAGAATTGCATTAGTTTGATCATTGATGTATACACCCGATGCGAATAAGTTTTTTTCGATATTAACCTTCAGATTTATTATTCGTTTTCTTTTACGATTTTGAGTTGATTGTTAAATAATTGAATTAAGTAAAAACTATCTATTTTTTTTTAATCATTGTTGGTTATATTTGGTCTAGCACTAGATTTACAATTCAATGCACTTTATATCATATGTCTAAGTTACTTGAATTAATTAGAAATCCGCTAATAGTTCATATTTATGTGAATTGATATAACTCGAAAAAGACGATTAAAAAGCTATTTTTCGTAATTTTTTCTTTTATAGTATATTTGAATTTTGGTAATGGGCTTTTTAATTAATATCTTAGCCCATTTACAACAGATAACATTTAATGGGCCGAGTCATGAGAAACATTTCAATGATAACCCAAATATCAGAGAGGGCCCAACATAAAGAGCTGTCCGACGTTTATAATAACTTATAAAATTTTAAATTGTGATTTGATGTTTATCTTATAAGATTTCGATTTTCGTAATAAGCTTATGTATAGATATACGATATGAATTCATAATTTCAAATCAACGTTTGCACGTGATTTTAATTATAAAATTCTCCATAGACACAGAAAAAAAATGATTTTAGAATTTCAAATCATGGATCCATTTTTTCTTTAAATGTGAATTGTGACTCTAAGTTTATATTTTGAAAATAAAACGTTATTTTAAATTTTGTAAAAAAGAAAGAAAAAAGAAGTTCCATGCTAGGCACGATGAGATTGTTAATATCGTGTGAAAAAAATATATATTAAAGAATAACTAATTATTACTATTATTGACTAGTAGATCGTAATAAAGTTACATGTATATGAAAGTTTGGAACGGCAACTATTTATTTATAAAAGAAACATGGAGACATCTGATTCACATTACGAATTTTAAGATATTCAGATGTCTTATTTATGAACTATGATATGCTCATCTTGGAAGATTGTATAAGAATTGAAGAAATTCTAATAACTTTCACAACCTGCGATAGATTTTTATGTTCATAAAAAAGAAAAATACAATTAAGAAATTTCAATTCACGGTCAAGAAAAAAGTCAATACTTCATAACAATTTAATTTTATTTCCTAATTTTGAATCATAATTTCATAACTCATATTGTCATGCAAAGTTTTATTAACGAGGTTTGAAGGAAAAATTATCTAAAATACACACTTTATTTTATCACAATCTCTAAAATTCTCGATCATTTAAAAAAATTTCAAAATTCTCTTCTTAGATACATCACTTTCCTCTCGTATGAAAACAATTGTCTACTAAACAAATTAAAAAGTAGATATATGTATCCAAAAAATTATGTATAAAATTATAAAAAGTTTTTATCACAATCTCTAAAATTCTCGATCATTTAAAAAAATTCAAAATTCTCTTCTTGAATACATCATTTTCCTTTCGTATGAAAACAATTGTCTACTGAAGAAATTAAAAAGTAGATATAATATCCAAAAAAAAATCTATATTAAATTATAAAAAGTATGAAAACGAGCTCATTTCCTATTTTTATAAAAAGTATGAAAACAATATAATTACTTTGGTTATCAAAATTAGAAATTTGGTGAAGCAAGGGTCTTTTCCTATTTTTATAAAAAGTATTAAAATAATTGTCTACTACATAAATTAAAAAGTAGATATATATTGCTTTTTGTAGAAATATTTATAGCTGTGTTTGTTCCAAAAGTCCAAAAATTATTAGCCTTAAGGTACAACTATAATAGCTTTTGGTACCACTATTTAATGCTGTGTTATTGGTACCAAGAAAATTTTGGACCATCATATTATTCTACGCATGCAATAACTTTTTTTTGATGTACAACTTAGCTGTTTTCAGATTGATGTAGCAACTATAACTCGGTGCAATAAAGCTTTCGTTACAATCTTATATCAGGTAATTTTACGAATAATTATTTTCATAACTTATTAAATCGATGATTTCTTGATCATTATATGACAACAGCTCATACAGTTATGTCAAGACTCTCTTTCTGATTGAGGGTACAATTGTTTTTTGCAAAATAAATTACATGTTAAGTGTAAACAATTGATATTGTACTTTCTTCGTTCACCTTTTTTGATATATAATAATAGTGTTCGGGTCAGCTTTCGCACACATTGACTAATTTTACGGAAAACTTGTCATTTTCCACCAACAATAAGTACCAGAGAACAATATCCACCAAAGTTACAGATGAGAAGAATCAGGTAGTGTTTTTCATTCACTTTTACTTGTACGACGTATTTTTAAAATATGTCCATTTTTACTTGCTCAATTTAGAAAAATTTTAACAAAAATATATCACCTAGTCCTTAATCAAAGTATTGAATTTATTTCGTCCCCAAGGACGATATAATAACATTATCATTTTATTATCGCTCTTTAAGATCAAATGTATTAAGTTAATATTGAACAAATAAAAATGAGCGGAGAAATAATATAGTATTTCTTTAATTATTGCAGCAGGTTGGTTGGCAGATGAAAGATTTCAATTTAGTCTATGGATGATTAAATTTTTTTTGTATTATTATTATATTATTTTAGAAATTAATCAATTTATACTATGATTTTGCAACTCACGAGGCACATGAGGTACTGATTTGTACGATTCTGATTGGTTTGAAATTTTTTTAAGACTTTATATTAGAGGATTTATTTGACTTCACTATCACTATGAGAAATTGGTGATAATTTGACTACAAAGTAATGAGGAAAAAAAATTGTTGATAGAGAGGTTTTTGGTGTCATATTGAAAAACAAAAATGGTGTAGTGGATAAGGTTATTGTTTTTTAAATTAGAGATTTTAGATTCGAATCTTGAGTATAAAATTTTTTTAGTTGGGATCGCTTCCTCGAGGTCCTACGTCGTGCGAATCCGGAATGATCGTAGGACACCAGATGGAAAATAGAAAAATAATAAAATGAAAATAGTTTTTGCAAAAGAGTCGAGAGTGATTTGAAGTCTAAACTCTTTATTCTCCCCGTTAGGGTTTGAAATTCGTGTTGATCAGCCTATGAAAAAATCCTGATGAGGAGTGTTTTTTCTCAAAGAAAGTCTATGTGGCGTGAATTCAAATTACAAACTCAGATAAAAGATCAAGACAAAAGGAATGGATTTTGTATTTGTTTGTGGTGTCAAATACGTGTGTACATTTTTCGAAACTCGTCGATTTCACGTGAAAAGACAAAGTAATAATACAAGAGAAAGACACATAATATCATAGGGTGTATTTTGAACGGATGAAATATTTTCATTTTTTTCATATTTAATTGGTGGAAATATTTTGAAAAATATATTCTTTAAGTAGGAAAACAAGTTTCGAGAAAAATAATTTTTCTAAACGAAAATAGTAAAAAATAAATTTGACAAATACCATGTTTTGAGGATTAAACTTCATTTTCATGCCAAGTTTGGAGTGTTTGGTAGAACAACACGGCAATGACGCAAATTCATGAAAAAATCCAAACAAATTGGAGTTTTTGGTTTCAAATTTGACTTTTTTTTCTATAATTTGTGTATAAATTATAAATTTGATTGAAAGAATTTTCAAATGAATATATATATGGAACATGGTTTTACATCAACAAGTAGAGGAAAAAAAGAAATTACTTTTAGTATTTATATTTTATATTGATTCAAAATACTTTGTTACATCAGAAGAATAAAAGCGATATACAATATAGATATACTGATTTGATATATTATAATAAAAATGCTTTCAGTATAATATTGATGATCTCACAAATATAAAATTTTAGTTGATTGTTAATCTCATCTTTTATGGAATCGATTGTCTTGTTAATTTAATGAGAAAATAATTTTTAAAATATCAAATAAAGTCAACATAATTTGATATTTGAAAAGCAAAAAATGAGACACAACAGGATGAATGTATCTATCTATTTAATTTTATACAAATTTAAATATTTATTTGTGTACATTCAAAGTTTAAGGGCGTAAATGACAACTGAAAGTAAGTTAAAAAGACATATTTATATATTATATCAATTTATATATATATATATATAGTACGAGATAGTTATTAAATAACACAGATATAATTTTAAACATGCATGTCATGATACTCGTATAACTAAAATCATATTATTAGGAATAACATAAAAATTTAAAAGATCAATAATAATTGCCTAACATATAGAATCATATCTTCATCTTTTTAAAGATAGTAAAGACAATATCATATACAATTATATGAGGACAAAAATCCAAATCCTTTGAATTAACATCAATTAGAGAATTAATCCAACATCAATCAAAATTGGATTTCCCCCCCTCAAATAAAAAAGAACTAAAGACGAAAGTTTTCTTTTTTGAGTATACCATCCGATATTCTATATCTGTATTAGAGCCCGATTCATTCGATCCGATCTATCTGATGTTTGATACCTGTATTAGGGCCCGATACGTCCGATGTTCAATACCTATATCAGAACTCGATCCATCTGATGTTCGATACATGTATTAGGGCCTGATTTATCCGGATATACACCACATAATAGAAGATGTTCAATACCTATTTTGTGTTCTTCTTTGCATGAAATTATGTAATCTTTTGAGTGCAATTTCTAATGTTTGTTCACTCATATTAGCAAAACAAACTCTAAACCATCCTGGCTCTGAACAATGACATGATGATCCTGGTGAAATATTCAATTTTACTTCACATAAAATTGAATTCCAAAGTTTCAATTCACATTCTTTTGTTGACTTCTCCAATAATTGACTCAAATTCATCCAACAAAATAACCCTGCATTCCCTTTCAAGCACTCAATTCCACTACGCTTTAATCCATCAATAATTTTTTCATATCTCTTCCTCAATCTATCGCGATTCGTCTTAATATAATTCGTTGTGAATTCCTCATTAGACAACATGGATGCCAACAATTGTTGTGTTTGAGATGAAATCAACGTAAAACTTGACATCCTCCTAGCTGTTGTTACAACATTGTCATTGTACGAATAAATTGTACCAACTCGAAATCCAGGGAGACCTAAGTCTTTCGAAAGGCTATAAACGATGTGGACTCTCTCCGAGTCCACGTCATTTCTAGATTTCAGAACCTCAGCTATGCTCACGAATTTCGAGGAGCAAAATGCTGAGCCAGAGTAGATTTCATCAGAGATAAGATGGATATTTTTACGTACAACGAAATCAAGAATATCTTCAAGATTTGATCTTTGGATTGTTGCACCTAAAGGGTTTGAAGGATTTGTTATAAGTATACCTCTAACCTTAATTTTGTTGAATTTTGCTTCTTCATAAGCTGATTCCAAGGCTTGTGGTGTAACTTGGAAATTATTTGAACTGTTACAATGAATTGGAATTATTTTTACACCTGTTCTCCACCTTAAATCTCTATCAAATCTGTAAAATAAAAAATAAAAACAGAATCATAAGTTATTAATAAAAAACATAATAACAAAGAAAGTAAACTTTGAGTGAATAAAAATAAGGAAAGTTTTCAAATTTACTTTATGTCTACTATACGAAATATCTAAATTCTATCTTCCGTTATATTTTTGATGTCATTCACACAATGTTAAAGTCATGATTTCCACTAAGAAAGTTCAGAATAAAAAGAAAAAAAATGCTAAGAGACTCCAACACTTACTATATTCAACATGTAATTTTTCAACAAAGAAAATTTGTGTATTCCTACTTGCATTTAGGATTATAAAATACGCGAATCATTACTCTTACGAAACGATCAGAATATATACCTGACTATAAAGTATAACATATATTAAACCAAGATTATTTTTAAATAGTAAAAATATATCTTTGACTATTTTCCCTATAAAATAAAAAATGTATACTATAGTAAGTAATAATTAAATGGACAAAAATAATTTAATTACTATAAATAATATTATTTACCCTGGATAGTAAGGAGTTGGAACAAGCAAAGCATCACCAGGATCAGCCAAAATAAAAGTTAATAATTCATTAGCAGCTGTTGCACCAGCTGTAATAACAACTCTATCTGGATTAAATTTTGCTCTTCCACCTCTTATTTTTTCCATAAATTTTGCCATTGATTTTCTAAATGAATATAATCCATGATAATCTTGAAATAATGCATTTTCTCTGAAATTAGAAATTCCACTCCCACAATTAATTGTTTTTGAATGTTTTTCCAAGTAGTCTTCCACCATATCAAATGATACCTATACAAAAAAAAATAAATGAGAATATAAATTAGCTTAATCATGTTGTTCGTATTCTTGAAAAATATTGTGAATCACTTTTTGAATTCAGAATAATACTATTTTTTTAGAAGGATTTAACGTGAGTATGGTAACATTTTTAGAAAGTCTGGACAGTATTGTGAATTTCTTTTTGAATTCAGAATAATACTATTTTTTAGAAGGGTGAGTATGGTAACATTTTTAGAAAGTCTAGACAGTATTGCGTTATTATTTTGTTTAGAAGTTTTTTTTTGTACGTTAGACATGATAGTACGCTTTTATAGTAATAGTCAGATTTAGGGATGTGTACGAAACTGTGCTCCTATCTTACGAAGGGTAGAACAATATTAATTTAGTTAATTATATCTTTAACTATGCTCTTTAACGTATTAGTCTGAATTTTTTTATGATTAAACACGTAAAAAATATTGTTATTATCTCGAGTCTTTCATTTCGAGGTGAGAAAAAAAGTGATCGGCTCGAATGTCACCCTAGATTGAAAGATGGGACGATGAATAACAACGAGATTCGTACTCAAGACTTCAACCTAATGACTCTAATATTATTATGTTGAATTTGCAAGATTGTTTCATTTAAAAATTTAAACGTTACGAGAAAAACGATTTACACTTACCTGATTTTCAGCCAATCCCATTTGAATTACTCCACATGGATTGTGAACTTCATCAAAAGGATCTTCATCATAAGCCTTCCATCCTGCAAAATATGGTGAATCTTCACCATGAGTATCTGAATTTGCAACTTTTGATAGCTCAACAATAGCCATTATTTATTATTTTTGATATTTTATTTTCAAGAAAATATGTTAATATTGCATAAAAGCAAGAAAATGATAACTATTTGAATGAAATGTTATGTCAAATAAACCCCTTGTATAAATAGAAAGAAAAATTGGGCCCCTTGGAAAAAAAAAGGGGGGATAAAAGTCCTTCAAAATAACTAATGATTTGATTGTATAGAGTAAGCAAGATCAAAGATCACCTTTTTACAAAAATATACTATAGTTTAAAAATTAAATGGTTGGTGACAACTATTAAGTTTTTGTCATCTTTTTCAAATCTTGTATAAATCTCAATCTCCAAAAAAAATCCCCATAGAAAATATGGTGGTTGAAAAGTGGGGGGTGGGGTGGGGGGGATTTAACAAAAGTCACATTTTCCTAACTTTGTTGTTTGTTTCTAATAATTATACAAGTGATAAACTAATAATGTCTTGAAAATATGTATATTATTGATCATGTGGTTGATTTAATTTCTCTATTTAAATTTGTTTCGAAATTTAATCAAATTAATTAATGTTTGATCTGAATTCGAATGTATAATTTTTTATTTTTTATTATATATTTAGAAACTATACGATCAATATTATAAGTCATAATAACGAACAATCTTAAAGTATTTTTTAAAAAAAAAAAGTTATGATAGAAAATGATATTTTTCTTCAATAGTAATTAAGACAAACAAATCAGGGATAATTTCAAAGATCTTCCTCCAAGTTTTGCTCTATAACACTCTCTTCCCCTGTGGTTTATGAAATTACGTCTACCTCTCTTATTTTTATTTTCTTGTAACCATTTTAAGCCTATTTAAAATAAATATAATTAATTTTACATTTTTACCCTTTTATATACTAATTTCTTCATATTAACAAATATTATATAAAAAAAAACTCATTTAACAAATTAATATAGAAATGTAAAATTGTCAAATCTAAATTATTTTGTATTTATTTTAAATATATTTATAGAATGATCACAACAAAATGAAAATAAACAAGGTAGACGTAATATCATAAATCACAAGTGAAGTAAGTGTTATAGAACGAAATCTGAAGAGAGGTCTCTGAAATTATCCTAACAATTACAATCCAAGCACTTTATTTATATAGGATTTAAATTTATAGATATTGATAATATATAAATATTTATCTTATGTATAACTACATGTTAAGTAACATAATTATAGAAATAAATTTTATATCGAACTTTTTAATTATATGTGATATTAAAATGAATTTATATTTTTCACACTAATAATGGAAATAATTATATAAAATATATCAGGTCATAAATTTGATTATAATAACGAGTACATCTACTTATTATAAGGTCTAATATGCCACTTGTGTGAAAAATGCTATAATCAGTTAAATAATAAATGTTATTACTATTATCTACCAATGTATATAACTGAAAAACTCTATCAAAATCAGTGATTAGAGATTTAAGTATTACCGTTATTATATTTATTTTTTATTATTATAAATAAAATTCATAAATTTTTAATTTAGTTATATTTTTATAATTTTTAAAATTATATTTATTTATTATAAAAAATAACTTAATTACTTTATTACAAGATAATTACTAATCTAACTTGCTTTATTAAAAATATATTTACGTATATAAGTTTAACTCTTAAAATTTCTATTTCAAATTCGAAAAAGTTTCAAAGTGGTTAAGTATAACATGATAGGGACATATTATTCTCTTTGTCTAAAATTAATTCTGGTGATTTTTAAAAATAATTATTTTATATTATTTATCATTTCAAAAAATTTAGATACAATTATATCATTTTATGCTTATAGCTACGTATGATGTTGTTTTCATTCAAATCAGTGAAAAATAAAATAATTTCAAAATCCCTCCTAATTAATATATTTTAAAGATATATATATATAATTATGATAAATAATTTAACGTCTGAGTTGAACATATGATAATTATGATTCTGATTTTTTGGTGCAAAATAATTAAAAAATTAAAAGAATTTGCAAAAGGATATTTTTGGCCCCACATACTTTTAAGGATATGTTAATCATTATCATTAAGGTTTAATTATCATTATTGCTTCAAGTACTTAACCAAAATATACAATCTTAGACCTAGACCACAATGGTATACTATATTTTATATGCTTAGTATTCTTTATTATAATACTGACACTTTTCGTTTTTTGAGAGTCAAACAATCAAAGTTCAATTAAAAATTTGTGCACGAAATCTTTAATTTTTTTGAAATAAAATTTATTATTTATAAACTTCGTAATTAAAGTCCGATCTCTATTTTAAGATTTCATTAGTAAGGTATTTAATTAAAGAATATTTTCAATCGTCAATACTATTATACGATCGTGTGTGACCTAATGGTTCGTGTATGTTTAGTATTCATGTAATTCAACAAAATTTAACATATCAAATAAATGACTTTTAAAAACTCAATTACAAACATTTGATTAAATGACTTTTACAAAAAAATAAAAAATTATAAAATTCAAATTCTGAATATATTAATTTAGCTGCAGTTTAATTAGAACCTCATCAGCTAAAGTTTATCTATTTAGCATATAATATATGTAGTGCAAGTTTGACCAAATTAAATATAAAATCTCATGATTAGAGAAGGGGATGCTTTGTGTTTTTTTTAATTACCTTAGATATATATATGTGGAAAAGTGTTTGTTTGATGTCATTAATTTATTAATCTAATTATAGGGATTAGATAGTATCTTAAAGTGTCTTTCTCAATAAGTATCTTGTCACAATCTAATAGTATAAGATTTAACAAATTAAAGAATCATAAGTGTGTTATTATATTCTAGTGTGTTAGGTAATACTAGAAATTAAAGAGATATTGATCATAATCAAATCAATATTCAATCTCAAAGAATATAACAACAATTATATACTTAGAGTAATTTTATAACTTAGGTCAGAAGAAGATATAGTCCGAAGAGAAGATGATATATGCAAATTATGCGCAATCACTTTATAGAAATTTGTATTTTTAATAAATTTTTCTGTTTTAAAAAAACTGAAATGAGAACGACAAGAAAATAATAAGATGAAATTAAGCAAAACAAGTGATGTAATAAAAATCGAAGATTAAGATATTACGTGAATACTAACTAATGTTATTAATCAGTTTCAACTTTATATAGAGTATTAATTAAATATTAATAATAAACAACTTTACTTATTAACAACTTTTTTACATTGTTTGAATAGGATTAATTTCTTTGATTATCACTTTATTTAAAAAGTCAAAGAAATACACTATTAAATATCCCCTCTAAAAAAAAGAGTGCTTAATTAGCTTAGACAATTAGCTCAACTAAATAAAACAAACATCCAAAAATATCCTTACACACTAATTATTAATTATAATCATGCACATCTTAATTATTCCAACTAATTAATAAGTTTAATTTATTAAGCATTGAGCTTGTAAACATTCTTAAAGTCAATTAATCCACCTAATCACATCTAATTAACTCAAATTAATATAGTACTTAAAACAATTCTATACTATATACAATGTCAACTTAAAAAAATATTTTCTTGTAAATTATTCCATAATTACTTGTATATAAGTATATATGAGATAAACTTTAAAGAGAATAAATAATGGTTGACATTACTATATACTATTAAAAAAAAAAATCAGATCTGCAATAATAATAATAATTTGTTTATGTGGAATCATCCAACACCACAAGATTAAAACTAAATACTCATGGAATCAGACAAAAATAAAATTATTATGAAAAAAAATAAATTAATTTATTGAAACTATAAGGAACACTAATTTCTTTTTTTGTAGCCTTAAGTTATGGCACAAATCTTTTTTGGTAGATATAGGACCAATAACAACATGACATTTATTGAAATAAAAAAACTTAATATAAATGATGATAAGATATCAGAATCATACTAATTTGACTTTGGTTGGATATTAGAACAAAGGTTCTCTCATGAGATTTTATGTTTGTATTTATAATATATATTTATAGAGTAATTCTTAAAAATATTATTAATATATTTTAACATGGTATTAGTATCAACGTATTATTATTATTATTATTAATAATAGTCTAATAAATAATTTGATTGCGTAATATATATATATATATATATATATATATATATATATATATATATATATATAAAGAGTGTTTTGCAACAATGATAAAACTGTTTCTATAACTTATAGTTTACATATTTGTGTCGTCGAAGCAATAACTAAGACTTGTATAAGCATTAGATTAGAATGTCTATATGCGATCCTTCGTCAAATATTATTTACATGAAATTTTATTTAATTTAGACTTGAAATTGATGATATACTTTTAAAAACAATTTAGTTTATTTTCTTTTTTCTAGTTCGACACACATTTCCACGATTATTTTTTTTTTACTTTATAAAATTTGCCATGTGTTTGGTGAACTACTTATTATATATTTCATATATAATGTATATATATATATAAAAAAAGATCTCTTTTTACTTATTAATGTATATCAAAAAAAAATCTCTTTTGGTCTTTGGACACAATCATTATTGTGAATCTAGTGACAAAAATCAACTATTCCCTAGAAATCCTTTTTAGTGTGGTTCCCTCTTTGCTATGTATGAAAAATAAGCAAGATGAGAGGCTTGGTGAGATTTAGTGGCGCGTTCGAATTTTTTTGAGTAATTTCATTTCGTATATCGATATTATGTTAGATAAATGGATCCCGCATAACATCATTTGGAGTAAGACATGTGCGTTTTTTGATGATCAGATCGCATGAATTTCAAATTAATTGTAGACAAAAATAATCACCATTACTGAAAATGAAAAACGAATTTAGAATAAAACTTGTAAAGTTTAACTAAAACCATTGCTATATATAAGATCATTCTTTTCAGTATTACATCCTCATTCTTGTAGTCCATCTTTGTTTTTTTCATCCTCCAACCCCCCCCCCCCCACTCCCTTTTTTAAAAAAAATTATTATTATTATCATTGTTATTGTTTATATATGTGTATGTCGATTCTTTTAATACTTTTGATACTTTATATTATTT